ATTTTACAGTTGTGTGTATGAAGTACTGATACAGGAGATACAACTAAAATAATGTACATTCATACTATGTGTTAAAACTTCAGATTTTTTTAACCACTACTAGACACTGAGGCTATTACCGTAAATTTCGTCATATTTTACAGTTGTGTGTATGAAGTACTGATACAGGAGATACAACTAAAATAATGTACATTCATACTATGTGTTAAAACTTCAGATTTTTTTAACCACTACTAGACACTGAAGCTATTACCGTAAATTTCGTCATATTTTACAGTTGTGTGTATGAAGTACTGATACAGGAGATACAACTAAAACAATGTACACTCATACTATGTGTTAAAACTTCAGATTTTTTTAACCACTACTAGACACTGAAGCTATTACCGTAAATTTCGTCATATTTTACAGTTGTGTGTATGAAGTACTGATACAGGAGATACAACTAAAACAATGTACACTCATATGATTCAAGTGATTTGTTTCGTGTATTTTTGCTCACTTAAATCTTTTGGAAACTGAAGTTTTACGACTTTACAACGTCTCCAATAGTAATTCATTCGCGCCTATTTGCTCTTAGTGTGTGTTAAACTCGATATTAACAAAATGTACATAACGTATTTAAAATTAATTGAAACTATTGATGTTACCATTTTTGCTTGCAAATATCACTTGTCGTTTATCATGAGTTGGGCAAATCAAATTCATATTTTGAATGTATTGAAATTTTACTTCTTATTTACATCGCTAGGTTTTGTGTAAACTATAGTAAAATACAGCTGATTTGTAATCTTATCTGTCGTCTGGAAGACAACTAATCTTTATACATTTTTTTCTTCACTTTTTATTCTTAGGGGACAAAAGAACATTTTTCATTCACTTGTAAAAATAGCTAACATAATAATGTTAATGTTTTTTTTGTGTGTGTGGATAAGTTTCCTGGTTCTCACAATGATGTAATTCACTTTTTTAAATTCAAAATTTTTAGATGGTTTAATTTGGCTCTCTTCTCTGTGGTTGTTCTGGCGACTTTGGTGGAGGCTGTCCATAGATATTTCGAACATCATGGGTTGAAGAATGGCTTGTCCAAACATCGCAAATTAAGTAAGTGAAGAATAGGCATCGTTACTAAAATGTTATAAGTTTATTATAGGTTTTAGGTAGATTTAAATCTGTTGGTCGAGCGTAGATAACGTGAAAATATGCCCAGATCTAAATGTTAGAACCCAATCAACAAAATCGCCAGAGAGACCATGCTCAGCTGTTTTTCTAAGTATTTTGACAGATAGCCATTAGGTATGACTACATGTAATTATAGAGGTATACTGTAAGTAAATTATTATCATGTAATAAAAGCATACCATTAAACAAAGTGTGTGCCTAGTCGTGCTAATGTCGACTGTTAAATGTGTTTCTGTGATAAGATATTGATAATCTATACAGAACTGGAAATAAATGTTAAAACGCTAATGAAACGTACTGTAACACATTGAAATATCTAATAGGTCATCAATAAATTAATGTCGCCTTTTTTTAGATGAAAAAAACCAGAACAACTTATATATCAAAATAAAACATTTATTAAATG